AGAAATATAGATTAATAGTCATCTATGATAATCAAGCATAGTCATTTCAGTTAAGTTTTCTAGGTATACATAGATATATTTCAGATAGATAGGTAATCTTCAAACACTTCAAAGACCTACAGAATATGGTATTTAAAGTGATTTAAAAACTTAGACTTTTCTGGACAATGAGACGTCTGCTCTGGTGGCACCAATCACTTCAAAGAAGATGACAGGCATCAAAGACACTCTATATATGGAGTTTGCTTTCCTTATGGCAAAAAATAGCCATTTGGGCAAGAGACTGTTCTTGCCTGGACTGCTTGACAAAATGTTATATAAACTGAACAAGCAGAACCCATAGGAAGGTAACCACTGAACTTTGCAAGATGAAATGGTCCTTCAGGTTCCTGCTTTGCAGAAGACTGCCAAATATTCTACAGGACACAGAAAAATGTGACTGAGAGACTAGGCCTACAGGCTAAAAATCGATGCCCCAGTGTTGCAGAGGAATTTTGGATGACTGTCCAGGTAGCCAGCTGTCTCTTTCAGTCTAGATTTTTGGAAGTTGCTTACAATGCTCTTCCTGTATACTTAGGTAATATTATATCCTCCTGGGGTCTTTGATGTAGCTGAAGACTAGATAGTTATAATTAAAATTTTCCTTGATTATGATAAAAGATAAATTAGATATTAAACTTTAGACTCACAAATATAGGATAGATAGAATATTTTCTTTAATTTTGCCAAATACAAATAGACTAGATAATATAACTAATTATTGCTTGATAACTGTTCTATTATATGTAATTTTACTATGTTAAAATTAAAACCTTCCTTTTTGTTTAGACAGAAAAGGGGAAATGCTGAGGGATAATGATTTTGTGCACTGGTTTAATAAAATGCTGATTGGCCAGTAGCCAGGCAGGAAGTATAGGCAGGGCAAGCAGACTAAAGGAATGCTGGGAAGAGGAAGAGCAGAGTCAGGAGATGCCAGTCGGCCATCCAGGGAGCAGCATGTAATGGCACATAGGTAAAGCCACAGAACATGTGGCAACATATAGATTAACAAAAATGGGCTGAGTTTAAGTGTAAGAGCTAGTCGGTAATAAGCCTGAGCTAATGGCCAAGCAGTTACAATTAATATAAGCCTCTGTGTGTTTATTTAGGTCTGAGCAGCTGTAGGACCAGCAGGGACACAGGAAAAACCTCTGACTACACCACAAGGTGAGGCCTTGATCCAAGCAGGCCCTCACCTCCCCCTTCCCTTCTGTACTGAGCAGTTCCCACCTCCCACACTGACTTTTCTGCCAAGAAGATCTTTCACTTAGTTCCTTAGTACCATTGTCCCCCTTCACTCAGGTCTGAAGGGTACAACACCTATTCCACATGGTACCTACTGTTCAGGATCACTGGCTCCAACCCATAGAAATTCAGGAAGATGGAAAGCAGTAGGGCAAGCAGGGGTGACAAGGTGAGCAAAGACTTAGCGATTTCTCCCAGGTTTGTACAGTTCGTCACAAGAAGATCCAGAGAGAGCCTATTGGAGGAGCTGGTAGATCAACCTGTAGTAGTTACTTGCCTTACTTCATGGTAGCCTGGATGCAGCTCCCATGTGGCCGACAAGATACTCTGCAGGTTGAACTTGTGATGGGAGCCATCCCCTTACACAAGGAAATCATAGCACTCAGTAATAACTCTGAGGGCAGAAGAGGCACAAACAGTAGAATGGTGAATTTGTGAAGTAAGGGTGAGTTTACAATGCATTCTAGCCTTGGTGCCTCTTAGCCTCAGTAGCATCCAGATGCCATTGATCAGGATAACGCAGAGAAGAACCCCAATCCTTTTCCACTAGGTGTGCAGCAAGTCCTTAACACCCCAAGAGTCTCTCTTGAGTCTAGGAATGAGGTGTCCTTGACAGGCTGTCATGCCAGGGATCCCTACCTGTGTTGCAGAAAGGGGAACTTAAGCTGGGTGAAGGGGAGCTCAACCTGGTTAGAAGCTGGTGTCTCTGTGCTTAACCATGGAAATGAAACAGAATCCAAATAGCCAAAATTGAGGTTTCAAGGCAGAAGAGGTCAACCCTCCCCCAAGTGCAGCACAACTTCACACAGATCACCTTCCAGGGTCTAGAGAAGAGTGAAAAAGTTACTCTTTTTTTTTTTTTTTTTTTTTTTTCTTAAAAGACAGGTCTCACTGTGTATCCCTGGCTGGCCTGGAACTCCCTGACCTAAAACTCACTATGTAGACTAAGCTGGCCTGAAAATCATATCTGCCTCTGCCTCCCAAGCATGGATTAAAAGCATGTGCCACCATGTCCAGTAGTACCAGGGCTAAGGAGATGGTTCAGTAAGAGTGCTTGTTCTACAAGCAAGGGGAACTGAATTCAAACTCCTAACACCCATGTAAAAAGCCAGACATTACTACACTGCCTGGAACCCCAGCCTGGGGATTGGGGACAGGGATTGATATATTCTGAGAGCTCAAAGGCCAGACAGCCTAGCAAAGAGGACCACCTTTCAGTTCAATGAGAGATCCTGTCTTAAGGCAATAATCCAGAGAACCATAGAAGACATCCAATGTCTTACTCTGTCTTCTGCATGTGTGCCCATGGCTACATACTAGTACACTCACATGCATAACACACACACACACACACACACACACACACACACACACTTTTTTTTTTAATTAGGAAAAAAACCCTCTCCCTAATCACCTTCCCTCACTGAGATACATTCTGCAAAGCTTGGTAACTGTCACCTTCCTGGCTGCCCCTCTTGGAGCACCTATTATATCTGAAGGGGTGTTGCAGACTACACCACTGAACAAAGCAAAACTAACCCTGGAATACCAGGGGTCCGTTCATACATGCCCAAGCTCGATGAAGGTCAGTTTTGCAGTGAGTGGGGCTTGAGAAATGAACTGGGTCAGGGCTGCTGGAACTAGGAAGTGGTACTACTGAACACACTGTTCACAAGATGAAACAAAATAAACCCACAACACAACTCTGTAAATATTCTCGGGTACAGTCTAGGTGTCAGGCCTGCATGCAGCCCTAGGTCAGACCACACTTCATCCCCACCACAACCTCCAGGATCGGTCATAGCCCTGAGGACCTGCAACAGGAGGTTACCAGAGTTAGCAGCAGGGAGCCACCTAACCCTAACCCTAACCTTAGGCTCCTCAGCTTCTGAGGCTGGGAACAGCAATTCTGCACTAGGCCTGAGTTCCAGCTAGTGCAGGCAGGCCACCAGGTGGCCAAGTAAGTGGGGGCACACGCCCGCTGGGACACCCTCACAGCCAGCCAGGAAAAAGTTCATCTCAAAGAGGCATTTTTTCAAACAGCCCAGTACTTGCCCAGGATCTCAGGGTCGGCGCAGTGCCGCTGCTGCAGCACCAAAAGCGGGAATCAGATCTTGCCGTGGTGATTTTACACACCTTTCACCTCCACATAGTGTCACCCACACCCCACCTGTCACTGGGCCATGTAGGTTCTGAAGATGTCTCACGGTCATCTCCAGGATGTCAGCTGTCTCTAGTTTTGTGTGCTGGGAGCTCTGGAGACAGGAACGCAGGATGGGTGGCAAGCCAGAGGTATCCTATATTCTGGATCTTAGGATCTGAGGGCCACAGAAGCCCTGTGAACTGGAGACCCTTCGAGTGCTTCATCCCAGTCCGGCTCACATCCTTCCCGTGTGCCTTCAGGATGACAGTCTGGAGCCGACACTTCTCCGTGACCAGCTAGGAGGACTATTTGGTGGAGCAGCGGCTGGTGTTTCATTGTCCCTCACTCAACCTTGCAGTTTTCGGATGTGTTGTCCGACTTGTCTGGGGTCCAGCCTGGGCTGGTCAGAGCTCCTATGAGTGGTGAAGTGCTCGGCTTCCCTGAAATGTCCACCGGCAAAATGCACCAGGCGGTCTAGTGAGTGCAGAGTCGGTGCACTCCTACAAACTTGAACCTCGAGCCTGTGCTTTGAGGGCTTTAAAAAAAGCAGTGGGGCGGTGGGGCCTGTGAATCCTACTTGGCTTCTGTTCCCACACTCCTCTCAGCCAATGGGAGGGCCAGCCTCCGGCCTGGCCTGCGGGCCCGCCCTCTCTTGCTGTTCCGTGCAGCCACCTCTCCCCCCCCTCCCCCTCCTCCCCCTCCGCTGTCTGACCAGTGACAAAAGTGAACCCGATGCCAAAGTCCACTACCGTGAGGGCAGAGCACCAAAAGGAGCCCTCTAGTTAGGGGAGCGAAGTAGTGAGCTGGGTGGAGGCTTCTGGCTTATTTCTCTTTGGAGAGGAAGTACGGTGGGATGGGATGCAGTTCATAATCACCTCGTAGGAAGTCCAGAAGGAAATTTCTCCAAAGGCTAAAAGACAAATTCTCAGGACTGCGAAGCCTGGACCCATTGTGTCTCCTCGAGGTCCCACCCAAGGCTCGAGCGGTTTCAAGTCTGCCCCTTGTCTGTTCAACTGAACACCATTTGCTCATGAGCCATGCAGTTTCCAACAAGGAGCCTGAAACACAGAGGCCTAGGAACAAACTTTGGTAGAAAGATGAAGCAATACCAGCCACTGAGACTAGTGGGAGGTCAGCTGGTCCCTGTCAGCTGTCTGATAATGCAGGGCAAGTGGAAGGACAACTTCATGCAATGTAAAGATAAAGATGTCTGTCAGTGGTGACAAACCAGATGTCATGGAGTTAATGATATATTCTGGATCAGCCCATTGGTAACTAAGTCCAGCAAAGAACTCAAAAAAAAAAAAAAAAAAATGAGGACAAGCTGGGTATAGTTGCATGTGCCTTTAATCCCAGCTCTCAGGAAACAGAGGCAAGCAGATTTCTGTGAGTCCAAGGCCAGCCTGGTCTACAGAGTGAGTTATAGGACAGCCAGAGCTACATGGTGAGTGAGATACTGCCTCAAAACACACACACCCCAAAAAATTAAAAAATTTAAAATCTTTGTGGTTTTTTTTGTTTGTTTGTTTTTTTGTTTTTCCAAAGGAGAACAAGAAAAACAGGGCCATTATTGTTTTCATGGTGGCTATTGTTTTTATTCTGAGTTACATTGCAGGGCATATAGACATTACAAAACTCAGGTTCCCAATCACAGCATAGCCTGGCAGCTGCCTGCATATATTCATTCAATGGTGGTGGCCGAAGACCACAGGGGGCTGGACACCCTACTTCTGTTTCAAATCTGTCTTAGCAAGCCACAGAAAGTAAGTGACTAGTTTGTTGGGTTAGAGAAAATGCCACTTCTATTAGGTGGTTCCAAAGCCTTCAACAATTGGTTCTTCAGAGAGAAGGAAGCTTTCAAGAGGCCAGGTAGAGGGAATGGCACTCCCAGAGTATTCTAGAAAGGGAACACAGTGAAGAAGAGAAGGAAGGGAATGTAAACTCTAGGGATTGCAGGACAGGGCCCTTGAGGAGCTTTTCTGGATAACAGAGTAAGCCAGCTGGTGCTGGGGAAAAAAAAGTTTTCATCCACCTAGTGTGTGAAGTTGATAACTGGAAGGTGGTCTCTAACCAATGCCTGTTCCAAAATCCTTGAAAAAGACCATAACTAGGTACCTTCTCAGAAGCTATCTTTCTTTCTCTGAGGCCAATCTTAGGTCTGGTCCTAGTTTATACCTAAAAGAATTCTTCTTCTCAGCTCTAGGAAGCCCTTTTATGATCCCAGTGTTGAACTATACCTCGAAAGCCACTCTTACTAGGACTGGAGATGGGTGGCAAACAGATGTCCAACATGCCGACCCCCACCTCCCCACACATACCCATTCCTTGGGTTGACAGCAAGGCTGGGCTGTCACATTCTTAGCTGTAGGCTTATGCTGAGCCTTAGGAAGGAGTCTATCTGGAATCCCCCTGACCTCTGCCTCCTGCAGAGACCAGACAAGTGGGGGGACATAGAAGAAGGAGGCCTCAGGAACCCCATTCCCTCTCTGGTTGCCAAACTGATGGTTAAAGTTTACTTGTGAAATGGGTTGTCTTTGTTCATATAGTCATTAGAAAGAAAAATAAGATCCTACTCCTTTAAAAATGATATTGGGCGGGGAGATGACTATGTAGAAAATGATTGAAGAAGACACTGAACATTAATCTCTGACCTCTACATGTACAAGCACATATATTCATACATATATGCAAAATAAATACATAAACAATATTTATATATCCGATTCCTTCTTCTCTAGACTCCAAGGGCACCTGTACTCACATATGTGTAGCAGGA